ATTACAACACAGGGTTGTTTTCTTTAGGGTGTGAGAGCTGCTAAGCCTTTAAAATGTAAATATATAGGTTTCTAGTTCCATGACTGCCTTGCTCTGAGCTGTAACTGCTTCTAAGCTGTATTTGCTGTTTTCCAGAGCTGTTGGTTTTCTTTCAGATGAAGATAATTAAAGAGCAAATGACCAGTAAATTGAGATGTGAACTCTGAAATTCTGTATCATAAACAAATTTGGTGGAGTCTCGTGTGAAGACCAGTTGTCATTTATCCTGATAATACATGTCTGTGGACTGTATCTGGATGGATGAAGGGGTCAGTGCCTTTCTTGTCTTGTAATTTTGGAATCAGTTTTGTCATTTACTTATGTGTGCATGCGTGTATGAATGTGGTCCTGGGATGCAGAGTTCAGGGGTAAGTTTTAGACTTAGTTGTCCTCTTCCACTTCGTAAATCCCAGGGACAGAATTCAGGACTCTGGGGTGCCTAGAGAAGCACCTTTACCTGTAGAATCATCATGCCAGGCCCCGTAATTTTTTCTTTTTAGTGAAAATAGATGTTTTTCATACAAAATATCCTGGTTATGATTTTCCTTCCCTCTATTCCTTCCAGTTCCTCTCCACATCTTTTTCCGCTAAACTGGAAGGCTGAGCTCTAGCAAATCTGTCTCTGCCCACTTTGGTGATTGATTTACAGGTAGGTGTGCAAAGGACACATGATTAGTTTTATGAGTGTTGGGATCTAAACTCTGGTCCTCACAATTGTGCAACAATGCTCTTAACTGAGTTAAGAGTTAACTCTTAAGAGTTAAGAGTTAAGTGTTACACGATTGTGTAACAATGCTCTTAACTGATGAGTTCTATTCAGTCTGACTTTCTTTTCCTTCCTCCCTTCCTTCCTTGCTTTCTGCTTCTTTTGTTGTTTTGAGACAAGGGAGACCAAGCTTGAAGCTTGGGGTGATGATCCTCCTTCAATCCATGACTTCTGGGATTATAGGTTTGTGTCACCACACCTGACAAAGTTCTTTTTGCTTGGCCTATGAATCTGATTTTTCTGAACAACCCTCAAAGTAAGGTGAAACCAACCATAATTTAAACACAGGAAAAGTTAATAGTACAGTACTTGTTTGTGAGTTTGTATTCTATTCTATTGTAGCAATTTTCTCACTGCTTTCTAAATATCACATTCAAGGGCCTATTTGAGCATGTCATCTTTGCTTCATAGATAGTATTGAAGTTTAAAAATACTTATCATTATTATAGGAAACCATCCCTTTTTCTTTCTGAAGATTTTCTAGAAAGAAAGGATTAAAAAAACTTAAATAGAAATACATTGTTATAATGGTTATGGTATTGTTTTACCTACAATTTCAGCACTCAGTCTGATGAGGCAATAGGATCATGAATTCAAGAGCAGACTGGCTACTATGTCAAGACTCTGTACACAACCAAACAAAATGAGAAGAAAGCACCTGTGCAAACACTCTTGGCTCAGCAGTTAAGAGACCTGGCTGCTCTTACAGAGGACACTTGTTCAATTCCCAGCACCCTCATATTACATCTGTAACTCCATACAATATGTCTGATACCCTCTTCTGGACTTCTCAGGTACCAGGCATGCATGTGGTACACAGACATACAATATAGACAAAACACCCATACAAAGAAAATGAAAATTGTATTAATTGAAAATAACCAACAATTTGCAGCAACAACTGTGTCATAAACAGCACCTTCAGCATCTGTGATGAGCAGGACATCCTATTCAATAGTTTCTGGGACCTGTTCAGAGGTCAGTTCTAGGGTTCTGACACCCAGGAATGACATGAACCTTCTTGGAGACACGGGGGAAGTAAAAATCTTTTTTTCTATTGCTGTGGGCCTGGTAATTTGGCAGAATAAAGGAGAGCTTACCAGGAGACAAATGAAGAACAAGCAGTTCCTTAAGCCGTGTTTCAGCGAGGACACAAATCCAGCCTCTTGGCCAAGGTTCCTCTGTTGACCCCAGAGGCAGCAGCCTACAGCTGGCAGTAGGACAATTGTAGAACACAGGGCAAAATGAATAGACTTA